CCATAATAATAACAATGATGATATTAGCTTTATCAAAAATAACAATGATAATACCAATGAAAAAAAACAAAAAAACAACATAAAAAACACCTATTTAACACCTCCTTCTCTCTCTCTCCCTCTCCCACCCCACCCCCACCCACCACCCCCACGCCCACGCCCACGCCCACAGCCTGGCCGCCCCTGTACGTGATCACGCCCACGTACAGACGCAACACCCAGCTGGCGGACATGACACGGATGTCTCAGACGCTGATGCTCGTTCCCAACTTGCACTGGATCGTCGTGGAAGACGCTGAGGTGAGAGGGAGATGGAGGTAGATGGAGGGGGGGGGAGAGGGGTTGTGGGTGGGGTGGGGTGTGGGTGGGGGTGGGGTGTGTGGGGGGTGTGTGGGTAGGTGGGTGGGTCGCTGAGGTGAGAGGGAGGTGAGAGGGATGGGTAGAGTGTGCGTGTGTGTGGTGGTGGGGGTAGGGGGAAGGGTGTGGGGGTGGGGGAGAGGGGGGAGAGGGGGTGGGTAGGGTGGGTGGGGGGGGAGGGGTGTGGGGGTGGGGGTAGGGGTGGGTGTGTGTGTGTAGGGGAACGGGGCGTGTCTGTGTGTGGGGGGTGTATTTGTGTGTGTGTGTGTTTATGTGAGTGTGTAGGGGAGGGGGCGTGGGGGGGGAGGAGTGTGTGGATTGTGTTTGTTTGTTTGTTGTGTTTTTTTTTTGTCTTGCTGTGGGTGTGTATGTGTCTGTTTTAAGTGGATCTGTTTTTTTTGTCTGCAATTTGCGTGTACTTGTGTTTGTTTTTGGTTATGGATTCGTTTGTGTCTGTGGGTTTAAGTGGACCTGTGTTGTTTTTTTGTTTGACTATATGGTTTATCGGTTTGTGTGTGCTTGTGTCTTTGTTAATGTTTATGGGTGTAGTCTTGTGTATCGGTTTGTGTGCATTTGTGTTTGTCTGTGTGTATTTTGTTCGTATGTTATTCATTTGTGTTTCTCAATGTATCTGTTTATTTGTGTTTACGTATATTTGCTTGCGAATGTTTATGAATCAATGTTTGTTTATTTTTCAATTGAAAAATGTAAATGAAATAATCTGAAATCACTTATTTATTGATATAAAAATACAAGAATTCACAAAGAATTAATAATCTCTTAATATACACATATTCATAAACGTATAATCCATATAATTCATTCATCCATCACTTATCATCGCTTGACCTCGCTTGACCCCTGCAGAAGACGAGCCAGGTGGTGCGTGACCTTCTGGACAGGACGGGCATACCCTATACCCACCTATGCGCCACGATGCCAGATGAGTACAAAGACCAAAAGAGCATGGGGAAAGGTGTCTTTAACAGGTAATTAAAGTGTCTAATTCTCTTAAAATACTCTTAAATTTGTTTAGGTATTTTTGGGTCATAATATTCTAACTTAGGTACGTGGGAAAAACGGTGTTGCTTTGTATATTTATTTGATTTTTTTTCAAAGGTGAATCGAGTCTTTTTGGTCAAGAATATTCTTTTTTAATTTCAAGTATTTGTTGATTATGATTTTCCAACGTAACTATTTCGGTAAAAAGTGTGGCTTTGATTCACCTAAAATATACGCTCATTGGAAAGTATGGAGCTACTCGGCAACTATACCGTATTTTAGGATTGCTTTAACAAGTAATTTGCGGTGTGGAAACTACTCCTCAACAACACTCTGTCTTATGGATCGCTGTTTGTAAAAAAGGGTGTTTTTTTTAACGGGTGGATTGGGAGGTAAAGATGTTTCGCAACAACAACACTCTCTTTTATGAATCGCTGTTTGAAGTTCCTTGGTTCTTGGAAGGCAAAATAGACACGAATTGTTTTTTTTTTTTTTAACTGACTTTTTTTTAACTGACTTTAAGTGACTTTTTTGCAAATAGTTGTTAGTTTTTATCATTGCTATTATTATTATCATATATTTATTGTTGTTTTATTATTATTATTATCATTATTATTATTATTAGTAGTAGTAGTCGTAGTAGTAATTATAATAATAATAATGATAATAATAATAATAATAATAATAATAATAATGATTTTACCGATAATTATGATAATGATAAAGATGATATTAGTGATAACAGTGATAACAATAATGATAACAGTGATGATGATGATAATGATGATAATGATGATGATAATGATAATGACATTATTAATAATGATGATGATGATGGTAATAACAATGATTGCGTCAATAATTTTGATGATGATAATGATATTGATACCAATGATAATAAAAAAATATTACCTTGATTATAACAACGATAATAATCATAAACTCTTGATACCAACAACAAAAAGCATAATAACACAGATAACACATACACAACCACTTAAAAACAAAAACAACGACAATAACATACTACAACCACAATAACAACAACAACAACAACCCGCAAAACTCATAATTACACAGATAACACATACCACAACCACTTAAAAAACAAAAACAACAACATATAATAAAAACCAAATTACCACAACTACTTAAAAAAACAAAAACAACGACAATAACATACTACAATAATCATAATAACAATAAACATACCACAACATAAAACAAAAACAACGAGAATAACATACTACAACCACAATAACAACAACAACAACAAACATAATTACACAGATAACACATACCACTACCAACTTAAAAAACAAAAACAACGACAATAGCATACTACAACCACAACAACCCACAACAACAACCCGCCAAATCAAATTACACAGATAACACATACCACAACCACTTAAAAAACAAAAACAACGACAATAAACATATACTACAACCGCAACAACCACAACCACAACCCACAACCCGACCCACATCCAACCCCACCCCTTTCTATCCACAGACGGGAGGGGCTGAAGTGGCTGCGAGAGAATGCACATGAGGGGGTCCTATACTTCGCTGATGACGACAACGCCTATGATGTCAGGCTGTTCGAGCAGGTGAGCTTTTGGAAAGGTTATTTTGGTCTCTGTTTAGGTTGTTTTGTGTTTATTATTTATTTTTGGTCTGTTTAGTTCGTATTTTTTAAATTTTATTATTATTATTTATTTATTTATTTTGATATATGTGTTTTTTCGATTGTTTTGTTATTTTGTTTTTGTTTTGGAGAGATGCATGAGTGTGTATCTGTTTGGATTTATGTGTTTGTATCTAATAGAGATAGGTACTGATATACGTACATATACATGCATACATACGTAGGTTATATACTTATACATACATAAAAAAAAACATACATGCATGGAGGCATACATACATACATACAAACATACACACATACATATATACAGACATAGACATACATTCACAAAAAGGCATATTTTCCAACGCGTTTTTTTGTTTTTGTTTTTTTGTTTTTGTTTCTTACACGTACTGACACCAAAAAAAAAAAAAAACAGACAGACAACGAAAGACGAAATAATACCAAAAATACAACTCAAGATGCCAATTCTGCCGCAGATGAGGACGACGAAGCGAGCCTCCGTGTTCCCGGTGGGCATGATCCTCAGCTACGGGATCAGCGCGCCCATCGTCAGGGGCGGGAGGGTCGTCGGATTCCATGACGCCTTCCAGGTGGGCGGCGCTTTGTCTGTCTTAGTTTGTGTGTGTGTAGTGTGTATATATGATATATGTATATATATACATATATATATATGTATTTATATATATATATATATATATATATATATAATATAATATATGTGTGTGTGTGTGTGTGTGTGTGTGTGTGTGTGTGTGTGTGTGTGTGTGTGTGTGTGTGTATTTATATATACATATGTATTTATGAATATATACAGATATATATAGATAGATGGATAGATAGACTTTTAATGCATGGTTTAATCTCAGAAACTGTTATTTGTGAACACATAAATTTGTCTTCACACAGTAGCAGCTTTTACTTTTTTTTCATATCACTAGCCAAATGAATCTATTCAACGGATAATCATTTGCCAAAGACACCTTGTGCAACTGACCTTAAAAAACCGTCTCATCTACTTAACATAAATAAAAATAATAAGTAAAATGATAAATAAATAAAAAACAAAATCCTCATATTCGCAGGCCGGCAGGAAATTCGCAGTCGACATGGCGGGTTTCGCGGTAAATCTACGGGTTTTGCACGCCAGTCCCCAGGCCACCATTCCCCTTCGCCTCTCGTATCTTGAAGACGGCTTCCTCAAGGCGCTCAGGCTCGAGCTGGAGGACTTGGAACCCCTGGCGTCCGAATGCACGGAGGTGGGCTTCGGTTTCGGGTTTTGGGAGCTTTTTTTTATCTATTTGTTTATTTATTTATTTTATTTTTTATTTATGGGCTTCGGTTTCGGGTTTGGGAATTTATTTTTTTTTTATTTCTTTTTTGCTGGTGTCCGAAATGCACGGAGGTGGGCTTCGGTTTCGGGTTTTGGAGCTTTTGGAATTTGTTTATTTATTTTTTATTTTTTTATTTTTTGCTGGCGTCCGAATGCACGGAGGTGGGCTTCGGTGTCGGGTTTGGGAATTTATTTATTTATTTTATTTTTTTTTTGTTGGCGTCCGAATGCACGGAGGTGGGCTTCGGTGTCGGGTTTTGGGAGCTTTTTTATTTATTTGTTTATTTATTTATTTGTTTATTGGTCTTATTTATTTATTTATTTATTTTGCTGGCGTCCGAATGCACGGAGGTGAGCTTCGGTTTCGGGTTTTGGGAATTTGTTTATTTATTTTTTTATTTTTTTTGCTGGTGTCCGAATGCACGGAGGTGGGCTTCGGTTTCGGGAGCTTTTTTTTTATTTATTTGTTTATTTATTTATTTATTTATTTTTGCTGGCGTCCGAATGCACGAAGATGGGCTTCGGTTTCGGGTTTTGGGAGCTTTTTTATTTATTTGTTTATTTATTTATTTATTTTTGCTGGCGTCCGAATGCACGGAGGTGGGCTTTGGTTTCGGGTTTTGGGAGCTTTTTTATTTATTTGTTTATTTATTT